ATAAATCAAAGTGTTACTTAAACATGTATAACATTTAAAGATTCGAATAATGCATGTATACAAAGTTATATTAAGACAAAAATCAAGTGTTTATGAAAACAATAATCATGGTATAATCCACACAAAGACATATATGCACATCAAGGTTCAAATAAAACATGGAAGAAAGTAATATACCAAAGACAAAATGACCAAGTAAGGACTCATGGTATAATCAAAGTTTCAACACACACTTAACATGTAAACATACACCAAAAATGTGTCAAACTCAAGCCAAAACAACGGTGAACAAGTTAACAACATCTCACAAGGTATATAAGGTTCATACAAGTCATTGTGGACAAATAAAAACAAAGGATCAATCAAAGAATTTAAAAGAAACCTTAAGAAACCCTAATAAAGTCACTTAATTTGAACAAATATAAGTGCAAGAAAAATATATATTTTTGGGGATTTCTTTTTATAAATAGAAGATAGACATTTTCATTAACAAATGACAAAAATAATGGGTTCAAAAGCTTTTGAGATCATCAATTTATGAATCTTTTAAATTGTGAGGGAAAACAAAGAAATAAGTGTTTAAAAAATATGAAATGGTCTTGGTGGGACTTAAACCCAGGTCTGGTTGGATAGAAACTCAAAAGTATGTCAACTAAGTTAAGGCGCACATGTGATTATAGGATGGAAACACATGATTATATATGAAAATAATTCAGAAATGTGCTCAAAGCAAAAATAGCACAAAAGGGTGGTCCAGGCAAGGATCAAACCCAAGTCAAGATAGAGGAAACAAGGAAAGACAAAGGCATGCTACCACAAGAGTGGTCATTACATCCATGAACTAATTGGAAACAAAAAACATAAGCTAAGGCAAGTTTTAAGAAATGAATTTTGGCCGTGTCAACATCTTCTTCTCCATGCACTCCCCTTCTCTTTCCCATGCATCATATTTTTTTTCTTTCTCTCATGCAACAACATTATTACATTTTTCACTCAAACTTTAAACTACCATAACTCACTAATTTTTTAATGAAATAAAAAGATATAAAAAAGAAATTGATTAGAAAAATATCAGAAATCCAATGGTATTATTATTAAGACCTAAAATTTAATGTACAAGTCACATCAAGGCAAAAACCAGAATTGCACCTTAAGGTTTCTACTAAACTTCCTCCTACCATAACTTCTTCATTTTTTTAACAAAATTGAAAGATATAAAAAAGAAAATTGCTTGAAAAAATCTCAGGAATCCAATGGTATTATTCTCACATCCTAAAACTCAATGGCTAAGGCATACCAAGGTAAACACCAGATCTGAACCATAAGGTTTCTAGCCATAAAAGCTCAATGCATGAACATGGTATAATGCATACAGTAGCAAGAATATAACTAACACAATATGGACTGCATTTTTGATTCAATAAGTACTCAGAATGATGCATGAATAAAGGTATCAAAGTGTGAAAATGTTACCTATTGGAGAAAGTTCAATGCTTCTTCAAATGGAGCTACATAAATGAAAGAGAGGTTTCTTGAGCCTTGTTAGTCCTTAGGAAGAGTGTTTGATAAAAAAAGGGCCTGAAATAAAGTATATCAAACCACACGAATGTTCTTGTACAATGAGCAAGTGAGATGGTGAATGGTGTTTGGGATGCTACAAAACCTTTTATATGGTATGAGCAAGTTCAAATAAGTGTTTAGAGATAATTTATGGTTTTTGTTTGAAGAAAACTCGTGGGGAAAGTGCATGGGTCAAGAACTTGCAAAATATGAGCTTTTTGCAAATTCTGTTGGAGAGGGATTTTTAGAGGGTGTTAAGGTGTGGATTTTGTGTGTTTAGAAGCTTGAGGGATCCCTCTATTTATAGGGAAAGAGTGGGAGAAAGTGCTGATCAGAAACAAGAGTTATCAAGTTATGGTTTGGTTGAAATCAAAATGCTTGTTTCATGAAAATATAGAGTTCCAAGATGAGGTACAATGGTTGTAGGGTGGTTGGAAGCTTTTAGAGGTCTTGCTTCTACAAAAGAAACCATCACAAGGCACCACATAAATTGGTTTATGATAGAAGTAACTTTACAAGAATGGCATTATGATCTTTTGCAAAACATGCTACAAATGGTAAGATTACTTGGATAATGCATCAATTCAATGTGTAATGCACATAAAACTTGTGTAATGTTCTGATCATGGAAGGATTTTCAAGTTACAAGACCTGCAATTAAGGGATTTTGAGGTTTGAAGTGATTTTTCTCCAAGAGTTCATCATGAAGATGACTTAAAATTCAAGTTTGGAACCCTAACTTCTCATTTTCGAAACTCTCAGCTCATACATTGGAAAAAAAATGTGCTTATACTTTTTGGAACCCATACATGCTCTACAACTTTCATGTTTTAAGTTTTTCCTGAACTAAAATGGATTGTGATGAAAAATGGCTCACAAGTTGGTTACTTTTGCAAGGCAGATTTGTCTTAAAATTTTATAAGTGTTGGAAATCAAATTTGAATGAAACACCAACTTCATGGCTTCATAAATTGAAATCTAAGCACTTCTAGGAACTCATCATCATTGACAAAGTTGTAGTAGGGAATGAGCACTTCAAAATGCTCTTCGGATCACTGAAAATGGATGTCTAGATTGGAAGTTATGGCCTTGGCAAGTTGGGTAAAAATCATAGTCTTCCATAACTTAGAAAAAATTTCAATTTCTCAATGGTTGCCCTTTTTGCAAGTAACCTACAATTTTTTGATTTTTCTTGATTGATCATGATCCAATCAACATGTTATCATCATCCTTGACTTGAGGAAGCCATGGTTGACCAAAAATTTTGTTTTACAATAGCAACTTGGTTAATAGCGCTTTTAAGCTCTATCAAAAAGCAAAAAAAAAACGCTATTAAATAGCTTTTTTGTAGTAGTGTCTATGGAGAGAGATCTATTGAGTGTATGAGAATTTGGTTCATTGATGATCAATCCAAAACTTTGACTGATCAATCGTTGAACTTCTTGGTTCAAAACCCTAATTCACAGATGAAATAAAACAAGACATATCTTTGTATTTTGAGGTTATTTATGCATGAATGATACACCTAAGATGCAAATGATGATGAAGTCTAGGGGTAAGATTTGGGGTATGACACTATGCTGAAGAGAAATTTTGCATAGATCGACCTAAAGTCGTATGTGTCGACCTATGTAGTGTTTTTCACACAAAAACTCATTTTGATGCATAAATTTTTTTTTATGCATGGATTCTTTCTAAATCATTTCCAAACATGTTGTCATGCATCCTAATGCTAAAATGCATAATGCACATCTATAATCGGTTGATACCGTCGAATGTACAAAAACCGCTAAAGTTTCTCCTAGTTTTAACATCATTCAATACATATCTAAACGGAAATATGCACCCACACACACATGCTTTGATATAAACATGTGCCTTGGGCTTATTCCTGAATTCAAATAAGTTTTCTAGTTTCAACAAGTCTAAGGCTAGGAAAGTGAACCTGTGAGAAACCTCTCATGTCAATCTCAATTAAGGGCATCTCTATTCATCTCAACAATATCGAACTCTGAGGTTCATTTCTTAACCCTTGCAGTATCCATCATTTCAGTAAGCTCAACTACTAGACCCCTAACTCAAGCAAGCCCTCTAACGTCTATACGGTTTGTATCTAGATTCCTAACTTTTCCAAATTACACTTTTAAGTTTATTGGGTCTATCACTTCTGCTCAGTTCGAGAGGATGCAACACTAAGTTCATCATCACTAACCAATTTTACAAATGGACACATGGGTTTCGTATGTTGACCATGACTTGAGAGAAAACACAAACAACTTAAATGATAAGGAAATAGATTGATACTTTGAAGGTTTGTAGGTTTCAATGGATAGAAAAGCAAAATGCCCAAAGATTCAAAAGATATCATGCGACCGTGTGCGTCCATTCAACGCCCCTTCCTCCTGCTTGGTGTCACGTCTTTGTTAACGATTCTAATAGTCCCTCTAATCTAAGTTTGATTTTGCATCACATTAAGGTATGATTCATTACACGATTACAAGTTCTACCTCTCTAACTTTATTCATTTAAGCGTTCGAGTGTTAACTCTACATTTACACCATGTTCTCCAATCATTAAAGACGCTCATCGCCGCGTCAGAGACCTTGTGCAATGGTTTTCACCATCTACTTTCGATGTTAGAAAGACCAAATAAAAGAATTGATATAAAATAAATAGATATTAATTATTATGCATAGTCAACGTAAAACATTTTACACGATCAAAATATTAAAATTTGTATATGCAATATAAAAATAATCAACCACTCGAAGAAAAAAAAAACTAACAATTATATTTAAATGTCAGATCCTCTAATTATTATTATTATAAGCAAGCCAGATCCGTACATATTATCTATTAAATCCAAATAGTTACATAATCAAGCCAGATCCTCTAATTATTATTATTATAAGCAAATTTTATTTTATTTTTGTCTTTATTAAATAATTAATGTACTTAAATTATATATGAACTAGATACAATAGTGGAGGATGTAGAAAACTAATAGTAATATCTATACGGCTAGAAGTAGCATGCACGTTATGGTTTACCCGTAAATTAACAAGCCACGTGGATATATACACCCATCAATGTTTACAGAATTTGAGAAAAGGAAAAAGTGATCGCTTAAAATTATGTGATATATATCATTCCTTTTCCTTATATAGTTGAGAAAGTGACAACATTTTCGGTTGCATTGGATTCTTCGCCAAAGTGGATGTTTCAAACCTTCTCTCTCTTCTCTCAAATTCTAACTTCTACCTTCCCCACCTTCACTCCATCACCTAGTACTAGAATCTCATGAAGTTTCTATTCTCCCCGTTCTTTCTTGGATTCTCATCACACTTCTAACTACATATCAACCACCTCATCTTAAATATAAATTTATAATCACCACTACTTCTTAATCATCTCCAACAAACTTAACCTATTCATTTCATATGGAAATTCACGATCAAGAACTCCAACCTTCAACGAAACAAGACTACGAGGTTAGACAAAAACAGCAACGTGAAGAGAAACAACACAACAATGTCTCTTTAGATTTGAAGATCAAGATTCCATCGTACGAGGAAGAGAAAGATATTGATTCATTAAACGACGGTTTCAAGACTCCTACAACCATGGAACACAAAATTCAAGCGATTCTTCCACCTCCACCTAGAAAGCCAAAACAACATCGTCCATCGAAGAAAAGAAAAGGTCATTTTAACTCTCAAGTTATACTTGATCTATCTCAAGAGATTGAGTACTTGTTTTCCACTACGCCATTAGATTTGGATCTTGGCCCTAGTAATGGTAAGAATCATAAGAAGGTTAAACTTTTTTAACAAATTGATGATAATCATGTAGTGACCACCACAAAACAATATGCATGTGGGAGTGGTTGAGTTGATTGAGCCATGACATCTTTTAATTTATTGATCATTAATTACCTAGTATATGTTATGTATCTATCTAGTTTTCATGTGTTAGGTTGTATAAATTTCCATTTATTTGGATGGTTGGATTTACTACATCTTTTAATTAACGGAAATTAATTATAAATATACTTTATATCTGATGTCTTTTTTTAATTGACATTGATATATTTCACTTCTGTTTATTACTTTTTAATTATTTAATTAATTAATTTTTATGAAAAACTATATAAGTAAATTATTAATTAAGTGATTATCTTCGATCTTGTTCTATCTGGTCGTATTTCTAGTCATTGATCCTGCTCTCCTGGGGGGGATTTATTATTTCCAACCATGGGCAGGAGGTTGGCCAAGATTGTGTCTTGGGAGGATGAGGTGTTGGTTGGGAATTTTAATGGATGAGACTTTTTTTGATTATCAGCATATGAGGTGGTTGATAATCTTATTTTGTCGATTTAGAGAATAGTTTTGCTCTTCAGAGTGATTGTTTGACCTGGTGTTCTAAAAAGGATAATGTGTACTTTGTTGTCTTAGACTAATGATATGCTAATTGAGGAAGATCTTCGTGCCTATATTAAGATAGATCACATTATGCCTCAATTTAGTGCAGTTAGGCCCTTCTAAAGTGGTTTGTTTTCTATTGACAGCTCCTATAATATAAAATTGCTACGAGAGACAATCTGGTGAAGTGTGAGGTATTATCTAATCCTGATCGTATTTTGTGTTGGTTGTGTACTAGGATTGGTTGAATTTGTTTCTCATTAGTTAGTTACATGCAACAAGGTGGATAATCTATGGTATTAGATGAATGGGAGAGGGTAGTTGTCTTGCTAAAGGTATGGTTTTCAATTGCGGACCATGGTCCGTAATATTGTAGTTGCGGTAGTGTCCGCATCCGCATCAGACTAGACTAAAATTACAATGTGATTGCAAATCATAATAAAAACTGTATCATAATTCCGCAACGACCAAATCATAACACCATACGAATCGCTTCAGATTGTAAGAGATCGCAAGAAATTAAGAACTGCTCGCAAAAATTATTTCGTCTTTCTTTCTATTAATATCATAGATTTAAGGTATGTTTTTAAAAAGTTAAGATATATTTAAAATGATGACGAAGTAGTATTAAATATGTGTGAAAATTTATAAATAAATGGAAGATTGGAGACATACAAAATAAATAATAAAGTATAGTATTTTATGTTCATAAAATATAAACTCACAATTAAAATCAGTATCACAACAAGCACAATTACTTTGTATATCTGGGGCCGCAATCACAAATTAAAACCATTGATATTTGTAATTGAAACTTAAACTATTGAATAGGACTTGTTTCATTTTCTTTCTTTGTTGGATCCAATGAAATAATTGAATTGACTTTTAAGAGAAACTGAAATGATTCAGAAATGAAAATCAAGAGAATTTGACTTTTTCATTATAGACATATTCTGCTCTTTCAATCAATTAAATCGTTGTTTGTTGAATTAGTGCGCAAGCTCACGCGAGATGGGACACACAACCTTTCAATTACACAAAATAACAAAAGCACATACTGTCACAAACTTCACTTCCAGCAACTTTTACTTTGTTTGATATATGCAGAAATGGATTGTTTGCGCACACTCTTCTTGTTGCTTTCTTTATAGAGGACTTTTTAGTCCTTTCAAGTACGCATTTATGCATAAATATATGATGATTTATTTAAGGCAAGTAACTCATGTATCAGAAAGGTTGTTTAATGAATGTTTACCTAAAAATTAGTGTATAATGTAGTTTTCATTCAACGATAATTCAAACACTACATGAGGGTGTTTGTTTTGAAGTTTGAAATTATATTTTTCAAGGATGTGGCATCGAAAATACAGTATTCTAAAAATTGTTTGTCTCAAATTAAAAAAAGGAAAAATAGAATGTTTTCTAAAATAAATTTAAAATGAAGATTATTAAAGAAAAATTATATACAGAACCGGAAGGGCTAAAAAATGTTGTTTACATGTCATTTAAAACTTGTCATAAATAGCTATCACTAACGGTTAATGAGTCAAGGGATACGAAAAATTTAAATATAGGAGGTACCACTAGTTTGTTATAGCACCATCACAAATTAGATCACATAATTTATCTTTTTCAAATAAATTTTTAAAAAATATTGGATAGAAAAGACAAATTATAAATTACTTTACTAATTAATTAGTTATTTATTAATAGTATGTAAAGATATACTAATATAATAAAAAAAATTATTAATATTTTATTTATGCCCAAAAAAATTAATAGTTTGAGGTATTTTTTTAAAGTGATTTATAATTTGAGATAAAGAGAATAACACATAGAGTTTAGGTGAATGATGGATGTTTCGGCATGAGTTTAGGACTCAACTTGCTTGCTCCATCACTACACAATGTCTACCAAGAGACTTGATAAATAGATCATCGGATTCATCCAACTACACTATTTTCAATGATCTCCTAACATTTGTCCTCCCATACAACTACAAAAACTGAAAGATGTCCTTGAAAAACCTATAATGTCACTATAATGGTGGATTACACATTAGTCTTAGGTACAAACAATTCTAACTTAGAAATCTCATACTTACAGTGTCACTTACTTGAACTTTAGAGTGTTTGCAGGTATTCCTGACGAGCTAGATAAGGCATTCTTGTAAAATTTCATCACCAGATCTCAAATCACCCTCGACCCGTGAATAAGAAAGTTCTTTTTCCAAATCATTTGGTTATGTTCGTGGAAAGATTCCTCCATCATTTCTACATTCTCACTTAACAATATCTTATAGTAAACAAAGGCAAGAGGGTGAAGACGTCCACCACAACATAAAAGCATCAATTCATTGATATTAAAGTCCTTAAAATCACTCAAGAGCCCCTAAATGTAAAAACCATATTCTCATCATCCCAAGGAACACCTATACTTCCACTTCCTGCTATAAATTATTTAGGATAGAAGATGTTCCACTACGTCATGAAAATCCACTACAGAACAACAATATTATTCGTCACTTGCATTCACTAGTCTAGTAACCAACTACGAAAGAAACATTTTATTGTGAGCGTTGCTACTCGAAAAATGCAACGACGGAGAGGCGAAAAGAAAAACAGGAGAGTCGCCATCGAACTTTATTTATCCCCAAAGGGGAAGGGAAAACATCGAGAAAATCCCCAAGAATATAATTGATAAGATGGTCTCGCAACCAAGAGAAAGGGTTCGGAAGTCGGTTAAGCGAAGGGAAGGTATTAGCACCCTCCACATCCATCGTACTCAATGGGAACCATTCGTTTGTCTTATGTGTAAGGATGTTTGCTAAATGATATTGCTTTCTAATAATGTTCCAGGAGGAATAGAGAAAGGTTAGAAACAAAGAATAAGAGAAAAGAGAAGGTGGAAAGAGGGAGGAGATTCGGTAGGACTTCGCGGTCCTATGCCTACGTGTTCTCAACATGTATGAGAAAGTCAGAGTCAACGTAGTTCAGAGGACTACGAATGAAAAAGATGGAAGTGCGCTCGCCAAGGATTGGGGCCCTTGTGCCTACGTATCTTCTCTTGAAAGAAGTAAAATATCAGAGCATCTATAGTTCGGACTACGGTTTATTGGTGTTTTTTATGGACGATGCCAACATTCACATTCTAGTAGTTAGGTGTATTGCAGCTCGCTTGTGGAGTCTTATGCGTTACCTGTTTGCGGTAGAACAGACGTGACATGCCCTTTTTGAAAAGAAATAGTTTTCTCCATCAAGGCAAGATGCCACATTTAATTTGTTGACAGTTGGTTTTAGGGGTGAAATAAATCCTCGGATAGAACCCCTTGCGGGTAGTACCCAATTCTTTATCTCATAAGATTTATTATGAAAATGGTGTGGCGAATATAGTCACGCCTTCATATTGAAAGACGAGTATCGAGATAACACACTCTAAAATGAGTATTTTAATACTCGGAGAGGAAGAAGTCTTCATTCAATCTTCTCTCTTTAGTTCAATACAAAGAGAACCTTATTCTCTTATGAAAGATGTTTTGATTTTGAATGGTAAGTGCTTTATGACAGTGAACCCTAAAGGTAATGTCAAGCACTCAGGATAGTAGAAGGCCTTCGCCTAAACACTCCACAACCATCCAAGTTTATTGAGAAAAGAGTTTGAAAATGCACTTGGTACAAGACCAGGGTTTTTTAGACTCAAGGAGACAAAAGAAAGAGAGAAAAGGTTTTAAAAATAAAAGGTGGTGAATATATCAAGGTAGGTTGATGGCGATAAACAAAGTAATCAACTTAAAAATGTTGAATCCATACAAGGTTAGGATGGGTTAATACCAAGAAATGAGAGATGAGAAGATATGGAACCCAAAGATACAAACCAAGTTAAATAAGTTTGAAAATGACTTGACATTGGATCAAGTCTTATTTGTCCCTTTTATTGAAAATATGTCCTAACTTAGATTCATTTTATCTTTCTTAACAATTAAGCAAGCAAGCATAAAAGAAAACTAAGTTATTATATTGTAAATGAGGAGAGGGAAACATAGTGCCCACCAAGGGGGGAGATGATATATTATACATGAAAGGTATGAGTAAGAATGTACAAAGATGCACTAAAAGAGAAACATCAAAAACAAGACAAAAGGTCAAATTCAACAAGATAAGCAATGAATGATCATAAGTGCATAAACATGTAAAACATGAAGTAAATGATCAAGACATGTAATATATGAGATGAAAACAATATGGGAAGCAACCACGTCAATTCACATATCATCAAAGATCAACAAGGTAAGACATGAGAATAATCTTCAAAGCATGCACAAAATATAAGTCAAGCAATCCCGCAATGAACAAAATATCATGTGAAGTGTGTGTGAAAAGCAAGCTTGGGCCCATTGACTAATTAACCCA